ATCATAGTCTTTAGATGTGTTTAGAAGTCTCAACACAGCTTTACCTGTAAGATAAATATGCCTGCTGTTTATAGGCATTTTCCATGGATTCCTATAGATATAAGAATCCATGTAAAAGTGCCCATAGAGTAATAGTCATTCAACATCATGAATTTAATCTTTTTTTTTTCTCTCAATATTTTATTGTATTTTAGGTGAAAGTTGACACAGCAAATTAGGTTCCCTTTTAACAATTTCATACAAATTGTTTGTCTCTGCCATTGGTTACAATTTTTGTAATGTGTCAGCATTCTCATTATTTCCAAAATATTGGCTGTTTGATCTCTTGTACTCAAATATTTAAAGGAGGACGTTACTCACAGATGATATTTCTTGTTTTATAATCCAATCTGTTATTTGACTAACAGGTGACTTGCTGAGATAGCTTCAATTCCAAGTTCAAAGGGTGGCTTAGGGCAGTAATGGTGGTTGTTCCTCTAGTCTCTATTGATCCAGTAGGTTTGGCCGTTTTTTAGGAATTTGAGTTTTGTTCTACATTTTTATTCCATTCTCCCCAGCACCTTTTATTGCATCCTTAGTCAGAACAATCAGTAGTGGTACTAAGTAACCATCTAGTTCTTCTGGTCTCAGGATAGATGAGGTTGTGGTTCATGTGGACTATTAATCCCATGGACTAGTTTCTTCCTTAAGCCTTTGGTTTCCTTCCATATGAGTAGAGACCAATAGTTGTATCTTAGCTGGCCACTCATGAGCTTTTAAGACCACAGGTGCTACTCACTAAACTAGGATGTAGAACATTATCTTTGTGAACTAAATTTTCTCCTGAGACTATGGCATGGATTTACTCTTATCTGGATATGATTTAGACCTGATCAAACAAACCTAAAAACCTGTGGGTATGTAGTACTTTCTGCTTGTTCTTTACCAGTTCTGCTACAAAATAATCTGGCCGTAATACTTTTTTAACTACCTCAGTGTTACAGCACTTCTTTTCCTGTTATAACATTATTAATATATTTGATTTGGGGGAATTTTGAAAAGATAACCTTGATAATGA